TATTTAATTACATGTAATGTGATCTAAAGCAGCACATCTGGATCTTGGTTTATTCAAACCCACAGTACTTTCTTTTCATTTGCAATAGGTGTTTAATTATTTAGGTGCAATAGGTGTTAATTATTTACTTACATGGAATTTAAGTTGAATCTTTGTGCAAGCGCAAAACGAGTTCTGTGAAAATTTAACACTGTTGCACTGTTCCTTGGGTTTTCTTTTTTTTTTTTTTTCCATTTGCAATTTTATGACAGAGCCCAATCTGAAAGAAGTTGAGGATAAATGAAGAGACCAGGGCATGAGCAGTATTCCTAACCTATCTTGAATGCAAAGCTAGGTACTGTCTGAAGTCAAATAGAAGCCTCTTTCCTTTCATCTTTGCTTTTGTCAAAAATAATATTCTATAGTGTAATGGTTCAGCTCGGTTGCAGGGCTCTTGCTTCAGGCCCATGTCATGTAAGTCCTAGATAACTTACTTGAAAAAGCCATTTCTTTTTCCTCAGTAACATGATTTTAAGCTAGCCAGCTGCGTGACTGAAGCAAATCAACGGCCTCCCTTCAGGTTTTCTGGGGAATTTCAACACCTGCTAACAGGAAAGCCTGTTAGAACCCAGTAAGAAATGGAGTAAAACCAGCTTCAGGGCCTGAAGGCAGATGTGTGAGGTACATGAGGTTGAGAGATGTGCTTATCTTTTCACTGAAGAGGTAGAATTGTTCCAGCTTTTTCTTTAATCTGCCTTGCTCAAACCACAGCAAATGTTTGACCCAGTCCCAGGGGCAATGGAGCAACTTCAGCAAATTAATTTGTATCCTCTCTACTTTCCTCCTCCTAGAAACCAAATAATCCTGTCTGCTGTGCAGTGTGGAGGGGAGCAACACACTATAATTCTGCATGAGATGAGCAGAAGCTTGGCTGTAGCTGTATAAGCAGAAATCCACCTGCACAAAGTCTGCTCTTGCATTTCAGATGTTGTAAAGTTTACATCTGCTGACTGCGCAGCATAACACAGCTGAAAGTGGCTTTCAGTGTACACAGTCTTGATAGTCGAAAGCCTATGATAATTTATGCAAAGCAATTCTGAGATGAGACAGATATGATTGTAATTGTTTCCTTATGAGCAAATAAACCCTGTTTTCCCCGTTGTTTTAGAACCAGCATTACCCAGAGTCGCAGCTCTCCCTCCTTGAACAAGCAGCTCATAATTAACATGGAACCTCTGCAGCCCCTCCTTCCTTCCCCATGCGAGGGGGAAGAGATGCCTTTAGGTGAAGGTGAGTCACTTACCTGGTTCCTGCCCCATGCTCTATAAATATTCATTATGAAAACATTATATATGAAAAAACTTGCAGATGTGTTATTGGCTCAGTTGTATAGAAAATATGTGACAATTCTTTTTGACGTAACAATTCTCTTTAGGAGTCACACCATTAAGTCTTTGCACATCGTATTGAGAAATGATCTCTGGCTCTAAGAACTGTGCACCAGCTTCATTGAAGACTCTCTGGGAGGAAAGTTAATTGTGTTCAGCTTACTGTGTCAAAATCATTTTAGAAATTCTCATGTGATCTAACAGAAATTAAACAATCTCAACATACAGAAACATTTTTTTAAACATGTACTATGGTTACATGCTTACTTGTGTAGTTCTCTGGCATGAATCGTGGAATCACAAAATGGTTGGGGTTGGAAAAGGGCTTTGGGGATTACCATCCTGCACAAGAAAGGTCAGATGAAAACTGACAATTTACTGCCAAGTACATTGTTTTACTTGGTTTCCTTTTCTTTACATTTATTTTTGCCTTGCTCTAATGTCAGCAAAACTCCCTGTTAATTTAACTACATTGACACAAGGAGACATTATTTGAAGATGGGTTTAAATGTGTTTTGTAAAATAAAGCTTTCCATGTGTTTGCTTATTCCTTCACTTTTTAAAAATCACATTCAGCACCTACCCGTCTGAGATGCAGTCATTACCAGGAATGGTATGAACATGTTCGTCAATTTAAATGAGTGTGGTTACTTATTTATCTTAGCTATGAGATATTTCTGTTTTATGGTAATTTTGCTTTCTGGTAGCCAAACAACAAACAGTTTGTTACTGGTAGGCAAATTTCACCATGGTAGAATAACAATAGCTTGCTGCTTGTTAAAGTTCTTGTGTGTCACTTATAACACTAAGCAATGACATTCATTTTTGAAACCTGCTGAGTTATCATTGCTATTTGCTCACCAGAGATTGCTGATATATTTCAAATACACATTAGGTAAGTTCAAAAAACATATTTCATTTTAGTCATACAGATTTCTGTTAACTCTGAGATGAAGAGAAATATTTGCTGGTGGTTTGTTTCCTGTAAGATGTTTTACACATAGTTAATACTTCCTGCTCCTAAGTAACTTGGTTCATGTTTTATCAATATAGTTCATATGTTTATATATGAACTTTTATATATATATATACTTTATATAGTTAATATATAGTTTAGAGTTCATATATTATGAAATTGTACCTCAAATGGATGTTAACAGTTCACTGACACTGAAATTGTCCTGTCTCTAGGCATTGGGGCCTGTCATGGGGCAGTCTGTCTGGGGAGCTTTGCAAAGGAACTGCAAAAGATTGTGGTGCAACCCTGCCTATACTGGCACTAGGGCAGTTCAGCTACCTTCTACACTATGTTGGTCACTAATGCAGCTTCAAAGACCTTACACTGATGTTTATGTAAGGCACTGCCGTGTGCATATGGATGTCCAGCTGCTTCACAGGACACTGTGCTGTGTAAACAGGCTTCAGCTCTCAGTAGCACGGCTATGAGTAGTAGCACCCACAGCTATACGCTCCTTGCACAGTCAAGGAAGTGAACATTTTTCTATTTTAATGAAGCAAAACTTGTTCTTGTATTTAAACCAACCTCATATGTGACAAGCAAAATACACTGACAAAACTACAGTGGCCTAAAGGTTTGTAGTATTATCCTTTTTAATCAATATTTGTATTGTATCTTTGAGTTTCCTGAAATTGCTGGAGAGATTAATTCTTAGTTGGCCAAGTATGTGAGCTATGAAAGCGAACCTAGAGAAACTACCAGATGAGAGGGAAGATTACATGCCAATTATTTGAATGTTGCTAGGGAACAAAGCAATTGAGATGGCACAAGCAGAGGAAACATTCAGTAGGGGATTTTGAATAATTTCAACCTCCATAGGAGAACTCACTCAGATGGAAAATAAACACAACACAACAAATATATTAAAGTATTTAAATCCCAGACATTTTCACAAGGACATCGGGTAACAAAGACCTTGACAGCACAACACATCTCCAACATGAAAGGTAACTATTCTGAGGGTTGAGGAACTACCACTTTCCAGCTGTGATTTCAGAGTAAGAGAATCTTATGCATGAAGTGCTTCCAAATGGAGCCAGTTATCCACAGGAAGCATGTATGGTCATGCCTTTTTTTTCTGTTCTGTATATCCCCACTGCACAGAGACTGAAGTGACTGGCCCATCTTTCTGGTGGAACATATTCCATCTTTCTGTACCTGGAGCATATACACAGGAAAAGACATTTCCCCCAAATTTAGGATTTTTCTTTTTGTCTTTTATTCATATGCAGTCAGGTTTGATGCTTGCCTTGAAATTAAATCATTTTCATCTCTGACTACAAGTTTGTAGCACACGATAGGAATAGTCCTTGTATAACTTCATTTTTTCCATAAGTACTTTCCAGGTAATAGCAGGTAAATGGCATCTGTCCCTGCTTGAGCAGGGTGGTTGGATTAGATGATCTCTAGAGGTCCTTTCCAGCCTCAACCGTTTGGTGATTCTGTGATCAGTGACCAAATCAAAGCCTTTTAGAAAAATAATAGCCACAGTCATTCTGTTCTGTGAAAAAGATGTGCTATGAACTGGTCTTTTGTTTCACTGCACTGTGTTCTGATGTCTTAGATATTTTTACACTTGCATGTTTGATTCAGCTGTTATGCTAGCAACTGCAAACTGAGATGGATGCTGTGGAAGTTTGTATTGTACATTATGAGGCAGTTGGAAATGTTTAAAAATAGCCCCTCGTTCTGTTCCCTGCTGGGATATTTTTGTTGGCCATGTTAGATACTTGTCATTTGATTCATTGAGAGGGACTTGTTAGTCTTTTAAAAGTCAGTGGAAATGGAATAAAAGGTCTAAGCCAGTATGGGTTAGACTGAGAAGAGAAATAGCCAAAATGGTGAAATGTCTTGTAAAAATCCAAACGAAGAGAAGTATTCATTTGCGTATGGTTAACCACTCTAACAAGGAAGTGAGCATTCGATTACTGCGACATGGATCCAAGATCACAGCTAGAAGGGCTGGTAAAGCTAAATTTATTTTTCTCAATTAGTTGAAGGATTGTCTGCAGAAAAAGCTAATTGTTAACTGTTCTTCATAGTTTGTTATACCAATACTGGATGCTGGGAAAGAACAAACTGTACTGTGCATGAAGGTATTATTTCAAGCGCAGCAAAGCATAAGGAGGAATTACTGAGGGGAGGTGGTTTGCAAATGGAGTATGAATGAGACAAAACTTAAATGAGATTTGTTGTAATATCTTAAATTGTGGATTTATATGTTAATTGATAACCTATTAATTACTGGAATTTTGCTCTTGTAGTTTTCTTGGGCTTATGGGTAGAAATACCTTAAAATACCTGATAATTTCTGACAATAGTAGTTCTTAAGTTAGCAGCTAGGTTGCTAGCAGATTTTGAATGTCAGCCTGAATATCAGACAGCAGATACTTACCTAGCTTGCAGCTAATTTTTACCAAAACAGATTGAGTTGGGCTAACAGATAATAACATTTTAATATCTATTTTACTAGTCACTGAATAATGTGATATAATGAATAACAGTATTGAAAACAATAGGACATTAACCAAGGATGTTTTGACAAAGACCAGAGTATTTTTACACCTGTTAGCTTCTGAAAATCAAACCCAGCTTGTTTAGCAGGATGAAAGAATCTGTGTTTTGTAATGACTTGCCCTCTGAGGGCCAAGTTCCTGGCTATTGAATATATGAATATAATGAATTTGCTGCTTAGGAGAAACTGTGGTATTTGTGAGAATGAACCTGACTCCCATGTTGCAAACGTCAATAGAAATGTTGGAAAAACATGAATATTCATATGCATGTGTTCTTATAGCTTAGAGATTAAATGCTGGCTCCAAACATGGACAAATCATTTTATTGGTTTAATATGGGACTGTTTGAGCAATGGATGAACACAGGGGTTATATAGATTCTTAAAAACTTTATTTTAAAACAGTGCTGTTTATGTGATATCCCTTTTGGTGTATTCCTTCAAAAAATCTATGTAGCAGCATTCAAAACCTAAGGATTATAGTTGGTTCATGCTGCAAACTTCTGGGGCATGGGAGAAGTGCATGTTATTCTTTGGAAGAGCCATTTTGCTTGCAGCCGTTACAGAGCAACAAGAGCTGACGCAAGTGGGACTGAGTGGGGATGGTGCTTACAGCGTCCCGCTTGCCCTTCCTGAGGTGCTAAGCTTTCACGTGGGTGCCCAGTCCTTCACAGCCTGGCTGTTTTTGACCTTTGCTGGGCATGGTATTGCTTCAGTCCTGTGATCAGCTCCTCCTTGTTCTCTGGCACGCACACACTTTTCCTTTGCATTCCTGTTTCCATACTGTATACTTCTCCCACTCTGATACTCTTTTCACCTCTTTGCTGCCTAATCTAAGTCCAGGAAAGAGGTCAGCAATGCTGGCATGGGTTTCTTCCACCGCAGAGGGTGTTTAAGTACCATGTGCTGTGTTTTGCTTTTATGTCTGAACTTTTGATCTGCTTTGCAGGGGGTGAAAAGCAGGGTGAAGACCTTTGGTTTTATATTCATTGAAAATTGTGTCAAATCACACATTTGGGAAGCAGTGCTTGCACTTGGTGTGACCTGACAAGGATGACAATACTTTACTCTCTTTTAAAAAAATCCTAAACAACTAAAACAAACAGGAATTGCAAGCTGGAAAGCCAGCTCACAACCTGAATTCAGACTTACTAAAACATCTCAGTAATTTACTCTCCTTGCAAAAACAGAATAGGTTAATTTTGTTCATGTGAGACAGTTACCCTCTCCTTTCTTCTAGAAGTTAATTCTTGTTGTGGAACAAATAAGTTTGTTTTTGTCAAAAATATTCAAAGGAATACACAGTATGTCAGATGAAATGACTGAAAGGCATATAGATAGGAACTGTTCTTATTGCATCCTGATTGGC